CGCCCAGTTTGTGCATTCTGGGATACCCTCCCACATCATTTAATTTAATCCTTTTCTGTTTAATCCTTTTACACAGACCCCAAGCATTTCTCCCACTTTTACCTGGCCTGTACAGGAATGAAACATATTTCTAACTCCTTTGCACATTTCAAAGAGCAACTGTCCAACTCCTTCTACTTTTTCTGGATGTTCATTAAGATCAAGAAACATTAAATTGAAAAGTGTATTTTTATCGGAGACCTGAAAGGGAAAATGGAAAATTGCACTTACAACATAACCTTCCTATTTTATACATTCCTATTTGAATATACCATGAAAAAATATATAAATACATATAAAATAAACTGGAAATTTTTGGAAAGGAATAGACATTTGTAATGATTTCATACTGCTGGCACCATGTACTTCCCCTTGTAATGTCACATCAGAATGATGAATTCACTGGTATGATGGGAAAACATGTACTAAGAAAAACAACATCAGGTAACATTCCATCTTTTAAAGCAAATCATGTATTTATATTTGATGAGCATAAAAGAAACTTAATACCAATGTTTTGTTTTATTACCAAAACATCAAATTCGCTAAGGAAATTTAGACAAATGTAAATGACACTAGGCTACCATTTTTCTTGCAGGAAACTATTACAAATATTTCTGTCCACCTCACTGCACATGTATTTGCTGACTTGAATTAAAGGGTACTCTTTATATATACACACTGAAAACTATTAAAATAACAGTAAAAATGCTCCAAATCAGTGAGCGAAGACTAAACCTTATGGTTATATAAACTGAACATAGTAACAAGTTTCTATTTATAGGTTAAAACATTAGTACACAATCATGTTTTAAAAATATATTATCTGTGGGGTTGAAGAGATGGCTCAGCAGTTAAGATCACTGACTGTTCTTGCAGAGGACTTGGGTTCAAATCCCAGCACCCACATGACAGCTAACAACCATCCACAACTCCAGTTCCAGGAAATCCAATGCCCTCGTCTGATCTCCACGGGCTTTGCATGACAGGGGTGCACTCACGGGCATGCAGGCAATACACTCATACACATAAAATACCAAACCAACCTTTCTCATCAAAAAAGTAAAGCTTTCAGCAGCAAAATTTCTTATATGTAGTTTTTTATGAGCCAAGAGGGTACTGTACATACTGTCAAATGAAAAAAACAAGAGAGTTCGATTAATAACATAATTTTAATAAAGATGTGCTACAGTGTGAACAATTTGCTTGACATGTGTTGGGTTCGCAAGGAATACAGCAAGAATGACGCCTCATTTGATTACAGAGACGCCCGGTGTCAAACAGAAGGCTGCAGGGCAGAGGCAGTCGGTGTAGGACAGGCGGTGCTGCTGTTAAAAGAAGGATGTCGTGAACAGGTAAAACTCAGTGAGTTTCGAATGACAAGATGAATTCAGGTGTGAACTGGAGAGCACAGTAGTGGGACAGAGAGCAAGGATGGGGCAGGCAGACATAATTATGATAAAGCAATAACAAGAAGGCTGGTCCATGTCAAAGAGGAAGGGTGACATGGTTGGAGAGGAAGGGAAGCTACAGATAGAGCTGCCTGGGTAAACATGTAGCTCCAAAACCCAAGCACAGGGATATAGGCTCAAGCTCCCATTTCTGCAAGTGCTTCCCCTGTGTTACTTCATTTAATCAGCAGCACAACTCTATGAGATGGGTACAATTATTGTCTCCAATATCTGGATGATGAAACTGAGGGAAAAAACAACCTACTCCCTGCCATATGTCACACAGCTATAACTAATTATTTATGCAATCATATTGTTAGTCTCCCTAATGATAGAAGAGCACAGAATATGGCTTTCTTGTTTTTTGCCATATCCCTAACAAATAACACATCCTTAGTAATGGCAGATACAAAAAATACTGGTTGAATGACATTTTGGGGAAGATTAATTTGGTGGCAATATACAACATAAAATAAAGGAAGAAATCTAATTATAAAGCTAGTCAAGTCCTGGAAGCTTGGGCTAGCAAGACATGAAAGAGGCTGGCTGTAGAGGGAACTGGCCCAGAATGGACCAAGAAGATACTTCAGTAGACTCTGCAACGAGGCTGAAGACTTCAAGTGGCTCTCGAGACCCTTTATGATCCGCCGCCTTCCTCCTGCCCCGCTGCTGTCATCTAATTACTCTCACCCTTGCGTGTACCAGGTACGTGCCAGGTTGCTTCTCCCCCTCCTACAAGGTAAACTCAGTACCAAAAGGGACTTTTACCAGTTTTATTTGTGACTGTGTCTCAAGTGACTTAAAAGCAGACAACATTCAACACAGAGAGAGTATGAGTGACAGAATCAAGAGAATTTGGAGGCCTTGAAGGTAACGATGTCTCTAAGGAGCCAAGGCAGGAGGAATGCTGGTGTCACGGGTAGAAAATGGACAGCGAAGCAGGGAAGGCACAGGGCAGGCTCTCAATACATATTTAGTGCACACACGAACACATGAAAGGTAAGAACTGGTTGGAATAGAAATGTGTTCAGTTTGGCAACAATAAGCTCAAGCGAAAATGCCCAGGTTGTTGAAGGTGTCACACGCTGGAGGCAAATACAGCCAGAATCGAAGAACCTGACCTAAGAGACAGGAAGGCGGCAGCATTTATGGTGGGCGAGGCCATAAAATTAAATAAACTGTATTCCCCAAAGACACCACTGCTTCTCAGTGAAGTAAGGTAGGTTATAATGCATTTTATCAAAAGCTTCACAGGGAACTAGCACAGAGTGAAAAAAATTCTCATTCTTTGCTCAAAGTTCCTAAAAGAGAAGTGGGGGCAGGATTAAAAAAAAAAAATTCCAAATCACTGTCCTATCTTCTACTCACTCTTTTTATTGGGATGTAAAGGGCTGATCTCTAATCTAAATATTCCTATGGTCATCACAGTAAAAACAACCAGAAAATGGAGAAATGAAACATTCCATTTAATCTCAGATTTAAACAGATAAAGTTACTTAGGAATTCATTCTCCTTCCATGTCCCGTGTACTCGAAAGTAGTAGCTCAGCAAATATACATGTTAACGACTAGGGAAACACCAGTTTAAAACAGGTTCTTGAACATTTTAGGCTTGTAAAGGACAGCATTACACTACAAACAACTATAATAAAGCCTATGTGATATAAAGGAAAAAAGCAAAACACAGCCAGAGAGGTGCAGAGTTCAAAGCTGTCACATATGCCTAATACAGAGGGGACATGAGGAAACCTGAGTCAAGTCTGGATGGATGTCTGTAATTTCAATAGTTGGTGAAGAAGTAGGTCAATATAAACTTAAGAGATACTTGGCAGGCTGACAGATTGGACTGTTGGATCACTTTGACTAACAAATCAAATTCTGCATAAGAAATAATTAGGCATGGCATTGGAAAGGTTTTTTGGAGTCAGGCTGAGGCCAGGAAGAGGACGAAGGCAAATGAAAACAGAGAGAAGAAGGGTCACCTGTATATCTTGGACATGTCCTTCACCATCAGTCTCCACAGGTACTTGTAAAGGTATGACAGCGAGGTGAAAGCCCATTCCAACAGCTCTGTGTCTTGAGTCTCCAGGATGGAGGTGATGGTCAGGAAGAAATCTTCAAAGTGGGGATAGAAATCAGTCTGCAGATCTCGTGCTAATTGTACAACTAAACTGGATTGAAAAAAGACGCAACTGATTATGTAGATTAAAACAAAACAAAGGTTGCTTAAGAATATTAGCCTATGATCACTGCATGAATTAAAGTTTGTTTTGCTTTGTTTTTTTCTTTTGGTTTTACAGTCAGGGTCTTGCTATGTGGCTCAGGTTACATAAGAACTTGTGATCCACCCTGAGTACAGGGATTATAGATGTGTGCCATCATGTCCTGCTTAAATCTTAAAAGAGAAAAGATTCTTTAAACCTTAACAGATAAGAAAAGAAATCAAATCAGACATCATTATTTCAAAGGCTGGGGTTAGCTCAGCATGCACAAGTCTCATGCAAGCTCAAATGAGACAAAAGCCTAGCACAGACATGGGAAAGTGGATAAGAAACCCCAAATCAATCTAAAAATCTAAGGAATTATTGGCAACCAGTGGCTGCTAGGAGAGTCAGTCTCTTTCAAGGATGTAACCTTTGGTAGGTTATCCAGGCTCCAGTGGATAAACTTACACTGAAAGACATTTGGGAACACAAATTAGACTCTCTATATTTTTGGCCATATATATTCCCAATTAGAGATACAAATTAGACTCTACAGGCTATATATATATAAAATAGAGTACATTAAATTGGGCAGGAGACGGTAAGGGAAGGTACAGGTGTGGGGATTTAAATACCATCAAATTTCATTGAATAAAAATTGCAAAAATTCAGAGATCCTAGCAGACAGCCTGAGAGGGTGGGTTTCTACTTCCATTGGTATAGCGGCTCTGATCTCAGCAGACCATGAGAGAGTGCTAAGTTCTGCCCTCCTTCTGGCAGAGGGACTAAGAACGCAGGGGACTGCCTAAGAGCCCCCAAGTGGGGATTTAAATACCATCAAATTTCATTGAATAAAAATTGCAAAAATTCAGAGATCCTAGCAGACAGCCTGAGAGGGTGGGTTTCTACTTCCATTGGTATAGCGGCTCTGATCTCAGCAGACCATGAGAGAGTGCTAAGTTCTGCCCTCCTTCTGGCAGAGGGACTAAGAACGCAGGGGACTGCCTAAGAGCCCCCAATCCTGCCTCCACATGGTGGTGAGCTTCCCCTAATTGCATCATACCTAGTCCCCTACCTGGGATTTCGTGAGGCCCCTCCCAAGGCCCCAGGGAAGGTCTGGCTTTGGTGGTCTAAGGCTGAGATCCTACCAGACAGCCTGAGAGGGTGGGCTTCGACCTCCATCAGTGCAGCAGCTCTGATCTCAGCGGACTGCCAGAGAGTGCCAAGTTCTGGCCTACCTCTGGACTCCTTCATGTGGTAAAGAAAGCCAAAGTGTACCTGACTGGAACCTGAATTGGGCTTCTGCGGGTACTCCTGAATAGCTGATCTAAAGCTATCAGTTCCCTCCATATTAAACCTAAGAGAATCTGAACCCTGTACCAACCAGCTTTACATAACCAACAAAGAAAGACCTAGGCACCCCAATAATACAAACAGAAGCATACTTCAATTTAATTCTCGTATCAGAATCACAGACAAGAAAAGAAATTCACATGCCAAAATCAAAACCAAAGAATAATAAAATGGAAAGCCAAAACACTATGTCCTCACCAAATTCCACCAGTCCTGTAGAAGAGTTCTACAAGGAGAACCCCCTAGAGATCAGTCAGGACACTGAATTTAAAAGAACAATCATAAACATGATCAAGGAATTCAACCAACCAATTTAAAGAACACACAGACAAACAAATCAAAGAACTCAAAGAAAATAGGGATAAACTTCTGAATGAATTCACAAAAGAGAGAAACACTGAAGAAACGAAGAAGGAAGTGCAAAACTCAATAAGACAACTTCAAACAACAGGGGAAAGCCTCACTGCTAGAATGAATGAAATAGAATATCAACACTGGAGGATAAAGTTGAAGAATTGGACCACTCAAGCAAAGAGTATGGAAAATTTTAGAAAACACAGGAATGGAATATGAAAGAAATGTGGGACACCATGAAAAGACCAAATCTACAAATTATAGGAATAGAGGAAGGAGAAGAATTTCAAGTTAATGGTGTTGACCAGATCTTAAATAGGATTGTAGAAGAGAATTTCCCCAAATTAAGGAAAGACATCCCCATACAAATACAGAAGAACAGAGAACACCAAATAGACAGGATCAGAAAAGAAACTCCCACAACATGTCATAGTAAAAACACTAACTGTACAGAACAAAGAGAGAACACTGAAAGCAGCAAAAGAAGAACAAGTCACATACAAAGGAAAGCCCATCAGAATTACAGCTGACTTATCAATGCAAACTATGAAAGCCAGAAGAGCCTGGACCAATGTATTTCCAGTTCTCCATGGCAATAGATGCCAGGCCAGAATACTATACCCAGCAAAAATGTCTATTATAGTTGAAGGGAAAAGAAATCTTCCATGACATGAATAGCCTGAAAGAATACATGTCCACAAAACCAGCCCTTCAAAGAATACTTGAAGACACAGAGAACAAGAGAGAAACAACTGTACACTAGGGGCAACGAAAAAAGATAAACAAAGATGTAATCCAGGAAACCAAAATCACACAGAGAACACAAACAGCGATCAAAATGACGGCACCTAATACACATCTTTCAATAATAACCTTAAATATCAATGGACTGAACTCCC